TACCAACTTAAGACACCGAGGCAAAAATCTCGCCTCGACTTGTCAAAAATGGCGGGTTAAATGGGCGTACCCGACGGACCCAACCCGTTTTGCCACCCCTAGTAAACACATTACTTTTTAGTGAGATTAGGCAATAAAGTGGGTAACCAAATATGTAATTGGTAGTTTTAATTTAATTTGTGCAAAACTTAACTTATAACTTTAGCACCTGACTCTAATGACAACGGGTAATAGAAAATAGAAAAGAATATATTCTCTATGTTTTGAAATAAAGACTTTTCCTACTATGAGTGAAAATAAAGAACAAAACATAGACAAATTAATGTCTTCAAAATGAGGTGTTTGTGGTTATGTGAAAAATGAATATTAGGGTTTGAAGAAATGAGGGTTGTTTTAAAAGTATGTCTACCACATACCACACTAATATTGTTTTAATTCCAAGTAAAAAAATTAAACATAAAACCTGTGGGCAAAACCCGCACCGCTCTGCACTCGATCCATTTTAAAAGTGGGTTAGACGGAGCGTACCAACTTAAGACACCGAGGCAAAAATCTCGCCTCGACCTGTCAAAAATGGTGGGTTAAATGGGCGAACCCGACGGACCCAACCCGTTTTGTCACCCCTAGTAAACACATTACTTTTTTGTGAGATTAGACAATAAAGTGGGTAACCAAAGATGTAATTGGTAGTTTTAATTTAATTTGTGCAAAACTTAACTTATAACTTTAGTACCGGACTCTAATGACAACGAGTAATACAAAATAGAAAAGAATATATTCTCTGTGTTTTGAAATAAAGACTTTTTCTACTATGAGTGAAAATAAAGAACAAAACATAGACAAATTAATGTCTTCAAACTGAGGTGTTTGTGGTTATGTGAAAAATGAATATAAGGGTTTGAAGAAATGAGGGTTGTTTTAAAAGTATGTCTACTACATATTACGTTAATATTGTTTTAATTCCAAGTAAAAAAATTAAACATAAAACCTGTGGGAAAAACCCGCACCGCTCCGCACTCGGTCCATTTTAAAAGTGGGTTAGGCGGGGCGTACCAACTTAAGACACCGAGGCAAAAATCTCGCCTCGACCCGTCAAAAATGGTGGGTTAAATGGACGGACCCAACCCGTTTTGTCATCCCTAGTAAACACATTACCTTTTAGTGAGATTAGACAATAAAGTGGGTATCCAAAGATGTAATTGGTAGTTTCAAATTAATTTGTGCAAAACTTAACTTATAACTTTAGTACCCGACTCTAATGACAACGAGTAATAGAAAATAGAAAAGAATATATTCTCTATGTTTTGAAATAAAGACTTTTCCTACTATGAGTGAAAATAAAGAACAAAACATAGACAAATTAATGTCTTCAAAATGAGGTGGTTGTGGTTATGTGAAAATGCATATTAGGGTTTGAAGAAATGAGGGTTGTTTTAAAAGTATGTCTACTACATACCACGTTAATATTGTTTTAAATCCAAGTAAAAAAATTAAACATAAAACCTGTGGGCAAAACCCGCACCGCTCCGCACTCGGTCCATTTTAAAAGTGGGTTAGGCGGAACGTACCAACTTAAGACACCGAGGCAAAAATCTCGCCTCGACTTGTCAAAAATAGCGGGTTAAATGGGCGTACCCGACGGACCCAACCCGTTTTGCCACCCCTAGTAAACACATTACTTTTTAGTGAGATTAGGCAATAAAGTGGGTAACCAAATATGTAATTGGTAGTTTTAATTTAATTTGTGCAAAACTTAACTTATAACTTTAGTACCCGACTCTAATGACAACGAGTAATACAAAATAGAAAAGAATATATTCTCTGTGTTTTGAAATAAAGACTTTTTCTGCTATGAGTGAAAATAAAGAACAAAACATAGACAAATTAATGTCTTCAAACTGAGGTGTTTGTGGTTATGTGAAAAATGAATATTAGGGTTTGAAGAAATGAGGGTTGTTTTAAAAGTATGTCTACTACATATCACGTTAATATTGTTTTAATTCCAAGTAAAAAAATTAAACATAAAACCTGTGGGAAAAACCCGCACCGCTCCGCACTCGGTCCATTTTAAAAGTGGGTTAGGCGGGGCGTACCAACTTAAGACACCGAGGCAAAAATCTCGCCTCGACCCGTCAAAAATGGTGGGTTAAATGGACGGACCCAACCCGTTTTGTCATCCCTAGTAAACACATTACCTTTTAGTGAGATTAGACAATAAAGTGGGTATCCAAAGATGTAATTGGTAGTTTCAATTTAATTTGTGCAAAACTTAACTTATAACTTTAGTACCCGACTCTAATGACAACGAGTAATAGAAAATAGAAAAGAATATATTCTCAATGTTTTGAAATAATGACTTTTCCTACTATGAGTGAAAATAAAGAACAAAACATAGACAAATTAATGTCTTCAAAATGAGGTGTTTGTGGTTATGTGAAAAATGAATATTAGGGTTTGAAGAAATGAGGGTTGTTTTAAAAGTATGTCTACTACATACCACGTTAATATTGTTTTAAATCCAAGTAAAAAAATTAAACATAAAACCTATGGGCAAAACCCGCACCGCTCCGCACTCGGTCCATTTTAAAAGTGGGTTAGGCGGAACGTACGAACTTAAGACACCGAGGCAAAAATCTCGGCTCGACTTGTCAAAAATGGCGGGTTAAATGGGCGTACCCGACGGACCCAACCCGTTTTGCCACCCCTAGTAAACACATTACTTTTTAGTGAGATTAGGCAATAAAGTGGGTAACCAAATATGTAATTGGTAGTTTTAATTTAATTTGTCCAAAACTTAACTTATAACTTTAGTACCCGACTCTAATGACAACGGGTAATAGAAAATAGAAAAGAATATATTCTCTATGTTTTGAAATAAAGACTTTTTCTATTATGAGTGAAAATAAAGAACAAAACATAGACAAATTAATGTCTTCAAAATGAGGTGTTTGTGGTTATGTGAAAAATGAATATTAGGGTTTGAAGAAATGAGGGTTGTTTTAAAAGTATGTTTACCACATACCACGTTAATATTGTTTTAATTCCAAGTAAAAAAATTAAACATAAAACCTGTGGGCAAAACCCGCACCGCTCCGCACTCGATCCATTTTAAAAGTGGGTTAGACGGAGCGTACCAACTTAAGACACCGAGGCAACAATCTCGCCTCGACCTGTCAAAAATGGTGGGTTAAATGGGCGAACCCGACGGACCCAACCCGTTTTGCCACCTCTAGTATACACATTACTTTTTAGTGAGATTAGGCAATAAAGTGGGTAACCAAATATGTAATTGGTAGTTTTAATTTAGTTTTCTGACATATGTATATTTATGTGTTACACCAGACTCTCAACTTTCTGTGTGTTTTTTATACCAATTCCACTACATCTTCAGTGGCGCCACAATGAAACAAAGAAGTCACCAATGAATTACAACATCCTAAAGTTCTTTTAGGAAGACATTCAAATACAGCCACAAAATTCTCAATGCATAAACATTTTTCTTACATATTAATCAAAGCAGATTGAACAAACGCATTACTTCCATCAAAACCAAATTTCACAACACAACAATGAATTTGTTTCCCCAAACCAATATTCTTAGTTCTACTACATAAATTCAAGAACCGACGGACGATGTACACACTTTTGCATAAATTCAAAAAACTCCAAAGCTTCAAATACCAAATTATTGTGAGCATAAACAGAAACCAAAGAGTTAAATGAAATAACATCCTCAACCTTCATTCCTTAAAAACACGAGTAAAAATGAAAAGCGTGTAACTTCTCAATCCCTTTCATCAATCTTTATCTGTTTTGGAACAAACATTTCAGACTTATGCGGTGTCTGAACAGCAGCAGACTTGGAAATTGTTCTCAACTGTGACAACCATGTTAAGATAAAACCTTTTTTCCTTACTTTTTCCAACTATTACTACTATTAAGTTTGCTATTTGTCAAAACAATGCTTATTTTAATGCAAATGCTATAGTTGGGGAGTAATTAACATGAAACTTAGTTGGATTTAATTTATTTTAGAAGCATTTTGCCCCTAATTGGGTGTGTTGGCAACTAAGAACCAGGGTTAATTTAGTGTTTACCGTCACATACAAAGTTCTTATATTATAGATTAACTATCAAAATTAATTTAAATATTTAATATTTTATGATTATTACTATTTAGGTTAAGATTCAATTAAACAAAACATTTGATTTTTTAAAAACTATTTGATTTAATTTAAATTTATCCTTTTATAGCTGTGGTTAAATAAATTGATTTTTTTCATACAAACAAATTCATATATATTTTTACCACAAATAAGGAAATTCAGTGGTTGGTTGTTGATAAAAATTAATATTTAAATAAATTGATTTAAATTAAAAGAGATTTAAATATAAAGTGATCTATTTTTAAATACTTTTTATTTTAATATTGAATTAGACATCAGATTAAAAGTCGGTTTGAATTGGCTTATTGAGACCGTTTGAGAGATTTTATTAAAATAATTTAAAATATTTTTTATTTTATTTTAAATATAGTTTATAAAACTAATTTATAGTATATATAAAAAATAATTTATTTTATCATTTGTTAAAATAAATAAGTCATGCAAAGATATTCATAAGCACTTATTTTAAAAAGTGTTTATGCTATAAGCTGCAAAACTGTGTATTCAAAAGATAAAATCTTAACTTCAAGATAAAATTAAGTTTAAAAACAAAAATCATTTGTACTTATTTTAAAATAATCAATTCTATACTTTCTTGGAATATTATATGATTTTTAGAACTTATGATTGTACATTTAAATTTTTTAATATTTTTAAGATTGTGGTTATAAGATTTAAATTTATTGAGCTTGACATAATTGTCATTCTTGGTGCGTTACAAGTAAATTTTCAGCGCCGGCCTCATTTTGTATTTACATGTATGCATAAGACTTATATTTGATCTCATAATTTTTTTTTTTTTTGTGCAAAAGAAGATTGGAAATCATTGCAACCATGTCTTCAAGGTTTGATATTGAGTCAAAAAAGAGTTTCACAGAGATGAATGAGGATGAAGAGTGTTCTGTTAGACAAGTTGAACTTACAGTATCAAAAACTGATGACCCTACATTACCTGTTGTCACATTTAGAATGTGGGTTCTTGGGATTCTTTCATGTGTGGTACTGTCGTTTGTGAACCAATTCTTTTGGTACAGAACACAGCCTTTGAGTGTCACTTCAATTTCTGCTCAGATTGCTGTTGTTCCACTCGGTCATTTCATGGCAAGAGTCTTGCCAACTTGTGTCTTCTTCAAAGATACATGGTTTGAATTCTCAATGAATAGAGGTCCATTCAATATCAAGGAGCATGTTCTCATAACTATCTTTGCTAATTCTGGTGCTGGATCCGTTTATGCTACTCATATTTTGAGTGCAGTGAAGCTCATGTACAAAAGGAAACTCGGTTTCCTTCCAGCTTTACTACTCATGCTCACCACTCAGGTTCTCTTTTGTATATCTATCTATAATACTATTACTTTTTTTCAATTTATTTGCTTCCCAAAAACAAATTATTTTTGAAATACTTGTCTGAATTGTCCGAAACGTGTTGTCTGACACCGATTTATGCTTCATATTGCGTTATGCTTCTCTATTCAATTTTAGATGCTGGGATTTGGTTGGGCAGGACTGTTTAGGAAATTTCTTGTTGAGCCTGCGGAAATGTGGTGGCCTACTAATCTGGTACAGGTCTCTTTATTCAGGTGAGTTTTATTGAATTAATGTGTTCTTCAGTTGCAGTAATTTTGGCAAAACTGTAACTATTCTAAAGCCATTATATTAATGCAGTGCTCTGCATGAGAAAAGCAAAAGACCGAAAGGAGCCACAACCCGGACTCAGTTTTTCCTCCTTGTCATGATCTCTGGAATGGCATACTATGTGTTACCAGGCTACATGTTTTCAATGTTGACATCTTTTGCTTGGATGTGTTGGCTTGCTCCCAAGTCTATCCTTGTCCAACAACTTGCTTCTGGTATGAAAGGTCTTGGGATTGCTGCATTTGGTTTTGATTGGTCTACGATTTCTTCTTACCTCGGCAGTCCACTAGCCAGCCCATGGTTTGCTACCGCAAATATCGCTGTTGGATTTCTTATCATTATGTATGTGATGACACCAATTTTTTACTGGTTCAATGTCTACAACGCCAAGAATTTTCCTATATTTTCAAATAACCTTTTTATGGGAAATGGTTCGATCTATGACATTTCGACCATTGTCAATTCTGATTTCCATCTTGATCGGGATGCTTATGCAAAGAATGGGCCTCTACATATCAGCACATTCTTTGCAATGACTTATGGTCTTGGATTCGCCACACTTTCTGCTACAATTGTGCATGTTCTTCTCTTCCATGGAAGGTAGTCACTTCGCGAAACATTTTATTCAGATCTTTGTGTTTGAATTCTATAGAAATCTGCACTATCCTCCTCACCATATTCAAATTTTATTGGAAATACATGATGTCTTGCAAAATTTTAACTTCATTAACATTTATATGATATGCGATGTGCAGGGAAATATGGGCGCAGAGTAAAAGTGCTTTTGGAGCCGGTAGAAAAATTGACATACACTCAAGACTTATGAGGAAGTACAAGTCAGTCCCCATGTGGTGGTTTCACATAATTCTAGTGGTGAACATAGCTCTTATTATTTCTATTTGCGAGTACTACTACGAATCACTTCAGTTGCCTTGGTGGGGCGTATTGCTAGCTTGTGCTATTTCCATTTTATTCACCCTTCCAATCGGTATAATAACAGCCACTACAAATCAGGTATCTTAATAGTCTACTTCCAAAACTTGCTGACTTTATATAGGTGCTATAGTTGTCTCAGATTTCTTCTCTTTCTTTTTAACAGCAACCAGGCTTAAACATTATAACAGAATACATCATTGGTTACATGTATCCAGAGCGCCCCGTGGCTAACATGTGCTTTAAGGTGTATGGCTACATTAGCATGTCTCAGGCACTCACATTTTTGGCAGACTTTAAACTTGGTCATTATATGAAGATTCCACCAAGAACAATGTTCATGGCTCAGGTCAGTTATGATTCCTCTCATTACAAATTTCAATCACTATAGAGTCTCACATAGTCTGAGCTCTATAGCACTGACACTTCTTATTGAATGTGTGTCTGAGGTCTAACACTAACACACAGTTAATCTATTTTCTCAAATTATTACCTGTGTTGATTTATCAGTGCCGTATTTGGCGTTCATGTATATGTTAGTTTTTTTCTAAAGTATGAGTTCTTTATTAAGAAACTAAATTTGTCTGCATTGTATGTAGATGGTAGGAACATTCATATCAGTACTTGTATACACAGTAACCGCTTGGTGGTTGATGGGGACGATCCCCGAGCTTTGTGATACTTCCAAACTACCATCTGATAGCCCTTGGACTTGCCCAATGGACAATGCCTTCTATGATGCATCCGTTATATGGGGACTTCTTGGACCACGCAGAATCTTCGGAAACCTTGGCGAATACATCAATGTGAATTGGTTCTTCCTGGGTGGAGCCATTGCACCTTTTCTAGTTTGGCTTGCTCACAAGGCATTTCCGGGAGAAACATGGATTCATCTAATTCACATGCCTGTCTTGTTGGGTTCAACATCAATGATGCCTCCTGCAACTGCAGTCAACTTCACAAGTTGGATTGCCGTCGGCTTTATCTCAGGGTACATTATATATCGATATAAACAAGATTGGTGGAAGCGCTACAATTATGTTTTGTCTGGTGGTCTTGATGCTGGAACCGCCTTCATGACAATCTTACTGTTTCTTACTTTGGGTTCAAACAACATTAACCTTAACTGGTGTGGAAATGATGTTGAAGGGTGTCCCTTGGCTGCTTGTCCTACTGCAAAAGGCATTAAAGTTCAAGGTTGTCCTGTTCTTTGATCCTTTCAAAATAATTTGAATATCCTGAGTGTTAGTAGTTGATTAATTTGCATCAGTAGAAGAGATTATTATTTTAGATTTGTGTTGGCTAAAGCATTGGACTATTAGTGTTCAAGTTGATGATAATCCATTTTAACTAAATACTTGTATCTTAAACTTTAAAATTGTGGAATCCCACGACTAAGCAGTAAGACTTATAAACTTTACTAAGTACCAAATCCAAGTTAGATTTTTTATTCTCCCCAAAATATCCGACTTGATCAACAAGTCTCCCTGAAAAAGAATGTCATTCATGTTTTTTCACAATATCCATTAAGTTACAGCCCAGAAAAAAACTAAGAAATTTGTCGTTGAACTTTCCTTTAATTCTACTTGAAAAGATGTCAAAGTAATTCGCTACTTTTGTGCAATCTGTCACTTTAGGAATGCTTAACCAGGAACACAACCTACACCCTACTGCATTGCTAGCAAAACATTCCACAAACACATGAAAGTCATCTTCGACAGCAGAACGAACAAACGGTGTCATGGCTCCCATTTAGAATTTCTCTTCTAGGCAATTGAATTCTCGTTTGGTAAGCAGATTAAAATCAATTGTTAAATTAATTATTTAATTAATCAAATATAGATTCACATAATTAATTATTAACTAATTGAATTATAGTCTATTGTTATTAAACACATAAATTGTTTTATTAGATTTTATGTCTTAACGGAGTGTGACAGGTTGCACTATTCAATTAAATTTAATAAGAAGTTCTAATAATTAATTGTTGTCATTTAAATAAGAGATTGTTAGATTAATTATTTAATTTATCAAATATGAATTGACATAATTAATTATTAATTAATTATATTATGATCTATTACAATTAAACATTAAATAGATGAATTATTTGATTGAGTTGTGTTTGAATAGACTGTGATGGATTATAACATCTGATTATTTTGAATTGTTATATATATATATATATATATATATATATATATATATATATATATATATATATATATATATATATATATATATATATATATATATATATATATATATATATATATATATATATATATATATATATATATATGGGGTCCTATTGATGTGCATTCATTAGATGGTTTCCAATGTTTTCTCATTATTGCATATGACTTTACAAGATATATTTGAACCTTTTTAATGCATAACAAATTTGAAACTATGACTAATATTTATAATTTTGTTCTGTATTGTCAAACTCAATTTTATGCCAAATTTAAAACCATTAGGACCGATAATGGTAGTGAATTTCTTATGCCCTCTTATCATACCTTCTTAGAAATCATGTATAAAGAAGTTGCATAGAAACTCCTAAACAGAATTCCACTGTTGAAAGAAAACACAGACACTTTCTCACCGTCACTAGATCCCTTTTATTTCATGCCATGCCAAATTAGCTAAATGTTTTTGGTCCTTTTCTTTATGTCATGCTACATATCTCATTAACAAATTATGCAGCCCCACCATCCACAACAGTACACCCTATGAGCTCATATTTAAGGAACCTCCAACCTTTACACATCTAAATTTTTTTGGATGTTTAACTTATGCTAACAGCATTACTATACATAAAGATAAACTTGAACCTAGGGCCACTAAATATATTTTTCTAGGCTACCCTAATGGAATTAAAGGTTACTTACTCTTTGAACTTCATATTAGGGCTACTATCATTTCCAGGGATTGTGTTTTCTTTGAAAACACCTTTCCCTATATTAATATCATACCCACACATAAACAAACTAATAAGAAGGTATCGATTTTTTTCAAACTTTTCCTCCTAGTAAATTAGGTGACTTACTCCAATGGCTACCTATTATTTTGCTACGTATGTCACAAGATGGTATGAAGATATAATTTATGAATTTCGAACGGTATTGGGCGGTGAATCATACTTATTTATTCTTTCTTTTTTTGTTCACTCACGCAAAAGCAAAATCAGTTCATCTTAGTCAAATAAGACAAATTTGTGGTTATTGATATTATCAAATTCCGTGTTCACATTAAACTTTATCTTTACTTGTGTTCTATTGATACAAATAAAAATTAAAATAAAGGAATAACAATAAATAAAAATATATATTAAAAAATAAAGATTATTGTAATATTTAAAAATAATAATTACTTAGAAATAAAATTAAAATTTATGAGGTGTATATGCACCCCTTCTTTTGTAGAGGTTCTGATATTGTTGAGAATATAATTTTTTGTGTCGAAGCAGTGTATCTTAAAAGAAACAAAGATTAGTCAAAATTAGTCTAATGTGTGTGTGTGTCGAGTTATTCAGATGACAAAATGTCAAAGCTGGTTGATTGACACAGAATTTTGACTTAGACTAAAAATAGTAATTTTTGGGCTTTGTGTTTTTGGACTTTCTTCTACTATAAATAGAAGGATAATCCCTATTTTGTAATAACTTGTATTCACCGATTTTTTGCATTTGCAAAGTGAATAAAGAAGTTTTCTACAGTTTGTGGGCTGACATTCCGCGGTTAAAATTCATTCTCTTCTTCCTTAAATTTTGTTAAATTCTTGCTTTTTTTCCTTTTTATTAACGGTTGTTGCGCATAATCTTTCTTGAGATCAAGATTGATTAGGAATTCTCAAAATATTTTGAGTTAATTCTAACATCTAGTATCTAGAGCTCCAATTGCTATTTGAGGGAAGAAAATCATAATGGCGCTGAATCATCCAAACGGACATTTCCTGGCGAACCTTCCAATTCTCAAGAACAATAATTATGAGAATTAGTGCAAGCAGATAAATTTAATTTTCTATTATCAAGATCTTTAGGATCTTGTGAAGGGAGTAGTAACACCGCTTGCGGAAAACACGACGGATCAAGAAAAGTATTGATCTGACCTGATCAGGAGGGATCACGGACTGGCCACGCTTCGCCGGACGGTTATCTGTTCGCCGAGGTAAGAACGAGGAAGGGGTGTACCTGCAAAGCACTCCGACGCCCAAGTAAGAAGTTGGACAGAGAGGAAGCAATAGTACAGAAAAGGGGGCAAGAAGAGTTACCTGACCCTCTTGAAGAAGAGGGTATTTATAGAGAGACCCCAGCGCTGGGCCAACGGTCATTCGAGGTGGGCCAGACGACCAGGCCCAACCCTAATGACTGCTAGGGCTTACGTGGCGTAGTGAAGACCAGGACGTGGTCTTCGCCCTAGTTCAACCGCTCCTAGGTCTCCGGAAAGTGGGTTTGACCTGCTCTTTCGGAGGTGGGCGGTTGGCCGATGACGTGTCCCCGCGGAGGGGAGCACGTGGAGAACGTGCGCCGAGCACGTTATTCTCCCGCGGAGGGAGCCCGGGTAGTCTCGCTCGTCTGGTGTGACGGACGATGAAGGGGATGCGGCGTGATGGTTTGTGCCCGGCGGACGGTCCTGCTCGTCCGAAGGGGCGTGTGCCAGGTGTGCTCAGTTCGCCTGTTGGGCCGTATTTGGTATTGGGCCTGCCGAGGTGAGGCCCACACCGGAACAGGAGCCCCCCAAGTCGAAGCTCTGGGGAAGAGCGAGGACTTAAGGTCGTCATGTCTGGAGCGGGGGACTCGTGCGAAGGGCTCCGGTCGTCGGTAGAACGGGGAGGAGGCAGACGGAGAGACGCGACTGTCAGGCTGCTTCCACGTGTCTTGCGTTGAGCGGTCGTAGGGGCGGCTAACCTATGTCATTAATGAGCCTAGGGTCGCTTCGAGCCTCGCGCCGGGTTATAAATATGGCGGTCCCCGCTCATTCTGCTACTTTTCTCTCTGTTGATCTTTCATCGTCTCTGCCCGTCCGCCGTTCGCCGCCGATCAACGCCGTGCCATTCGCCTTTTCTTCCGTCCGCCGCCGTTACAAGTGAGTTCCTCTTCTCCCTCTCTTTTATTTTCGTCGTCTAACTGGGACGTGTGGTCGGGGCGCGATGAGCGCCCCGAGGAGGGATGCGAGTTCCGCCGCGTCTGGCGAGTTTTCCGATGAATGTCCCGGGGACGGTAGGCTAGTTCCGATGAATGCCCCGGGGACAGGAGCTTTTTCTGATGAATGCCCCGAGGACGGGGCTTTTCTCCGATGAATGCCCCGAGGACGGGGGCTTTTTCTGATGAATGCCCCGAGGACGGGGGCTTTTCTCCGATGAATGCCCCGGGGACGGGGGCTTTTCTCCGATGAATGCCCCGGGGAGAAGTATCTTCTCCGACGGCCGCCCCGAAGGGCTGAGGGGTCGTTCTTCGATCCCCGAGGAGGGTAGGCGGGGAGCGAATGTCTGCTCGCCGCCCCTCGGCCTTTGTCGCCCTTTCACTTGACTTGCGGTGGAAGGGTGGATTTGATCCTGGCTATCGAATTCACCGAGGTCCTCTGCTTTCAGGTGTAGATGTCGGCTCTGGTGCCGGGGATAATGGTTGAAGATGATGAACCCGAGGTCCCGGAGTATGACGACGGGCGCGTCTCCTTGCCCGAGGAGTGGGCGGCCGAGGAGCCACTTACCATCCCTTCTTGTTTTGTGGTCGACCCGTCCGACGTGTATGCCACGGTCGAGGACACGCCGCTAGGAGAAACGCAACACTGGCAGGTGTATCGCCCGAAAGCGCACCATCGGATCTGTTCGCGCTATGGGCGGAAGATGTTCCCGATGTATGAATTTTATTTTAAAGAAGCTCGGCTCCGGTTGCCGTTCTCTGCCTTCCATCTGGGGATTTTTGACTGGCTGCGTCTTGCCCCGTCTCAGCTGCACCCGAACGCTCTGGCTTTCATCCGGGCTTTCGAGGTGGTGTGTTTCTACCTCTCGGTGGAGCCGACGGTGCCGTTGTTCTTTCGCATCTTTCATTTGCAGCGGCAGACGGTGCGAGGTCGTCACGGATGGGTCTCTTTCAAACAATCGACCAAAATTTTTAAAGCGTACAGTGATTCTGTCAAAGACTTCAAGGGTCGGTTCTACCTCGTCAAACCGATCACGCAGCACGGCTCGGACACTCTCTTTGACGAGG